GTCAACTATGTTATTTCCAGATGTCCAAGTGGTGAAAAGACTCTGTAATTGTAAACTAATACAACCTTCACAGAACCAATCAGAGTATCTTGTCAATTTACACTTGTTACACTCTTTTGGTTTTCCCCTTTTATCTATCACATTTCTTAATTCATCCTGATAAATAAACACTTTCTTACAATATTCTTTTTCATTTTCAGAAAGTTCCTTGTTTTTCCTGACTAATGAAAAAAAATAATCTTTTATACTTTCTTCATCAGAATTATTAGCATTAGCATTATTACGCATTCCATTATAAATTTTATATACAAATTCTTTTCTTTCTCTTGATAACGATAATAATAATTGAGGATGTGACATTACAAAATTTTGAATTAGTGTTTCAATAAATGAGAATAACTTTTTTTCTTTGTGGAGCGGAGAATTGAATGACGTGTAACAACAATTTTTTCGTACAACAATTTTTTTTTATTTGAACAATCGTGATTCAACAATAAAATAAAAGAAATTCTTTGAAGATTTAAAAGTGATAAAAATAGAAAACAAAATTAAAATTTACAAAAATATGTACCAAAACCTGTCTTATGTGTTATGTAAAGGTCGTTCTAAGTACACATATTGATCAATATATGTTTCTTCAAACTCAGAAACTAAAGACAGCCTAAGCATATTATTGGTATTATTGCGTATTACTATTACGCGTAGCTAACTTTAAAGTTAAAAATCCGAAAAAACATTTACATTTTACAAAATTTAATAATAAAAGAATGTTTTAATTTGTAAAAAAGAAGGGGCATTGTTATTTTGAAAGAAAATATATAAGTAGATTAATTAAGTAAAAGTTCTAATTCGATTATAACATTTGTAAACTCCCATGATAATTATTATTCTTGCATCATTGCAATACGTATACAATGATATAATTCATCCTCAAAACACATTTTTACATAATTTAGAACTTTTGATAATCCTATTTTATCATTATCTTTATTGCTGCTTATATCAAGTGTTTTTACTTACATCAAGTGCTTTAATTATGTCAAATGGTTTTACTTACGTCAAGGGCCTTTACTTTAGTCAAATCGTCAAAATGGCCCTGGTTAGAAACTACCTTTAGTCAATACTTTAGTTACACCAATGACTAAAGTCAAAAGTTTCGTCATACATCATTAAGTTACGTACACAATAAGATATAGGGTTTAAAAAAGGTCTAAAAACCAAATCGGCTGATATGATGTTAATATCAATCCCAATTCAATTCTATATTATATGTTGAAAAGGTTCTCCTTCACACAAAGAAAATATTAGGAATTGAGGATGGAATACGTAGTAGAATGTGATAGTGTTCCATATCATCATATTATCAAATTAATCAGAAATTCCTTGGTTGGTTCTTATTTGGCTTTTGCACAGTTGTGAAACTCCTTAGTTTTGGAAACCAACACTAGTTCATCCTATACTGGACAATTGCATAAAGTGATTTTGCAGAGAAACATTGTGTACTACCCATATCAAGGTTGTTCAACCAGCATCAAAGGTTAGATGCAATTTAGAAGAAGTGAAGAATAAGACATTTAATACCTTCTTGTGCTGCCACAGCTATGTCATGGGAAAATTGCTGCACGTACTAAAATTTTTTCAGGTAACAAACAATATTTATTTTTATATATTTATTCAATTTTAACTACAAAACCAACTTATTTAAAACAATTGGATATACTCGTTCCAATGCTCCAAGAACCAGTCCCGAATCAAGTACAGAATGTCAAAAACTTAGAAGCTCAATTAAGAAATCTTGATTTTGTTAATCTAACAAAACAACATCTATGTATGAAAGCCTAAATGGTGAAAATGAATTGAAAATTATATTGTGAAAAGTATTCAACAATAAAAATACAACCCATTTATCTAAACCTATTCCAATAACCAAAGAAAAAGCAACCGCTCAGGAGGATGAATTAAAAATGATGAAACAAAAATATTGTGGATTTAAATCAAAAAACAAAGGCGATACAAGAGGCAAGATGTTTATTTAATGAAGAAAATGAAATCAATGATTCTGATTTTGTAGAAAGTTCAGTTTAAAATCGTAATAAGTATAATCAAAAGATACTAGCATTTAACTATTAATGTTATAAACATATTAAATTAAAGAATAGTCGAAATTAAAAATTCTATTCAGCATTCCTGATCCTGTTTAATGAGGCCTGTCATAAAATGGTTTTTACTCGAAGTAAATTTCCACGTAATTATTCCAATACTATAAACATTCGGGGGGTTTTTTTTATACGGCATTCCTAATAATACTTCAGATGGCATGTGTGGATGGAAGCACTCTTTCGAAATATTATCTGAATTATTATTATTATTGTTATTGTGGCTTGGCTGACCTAATCCCACGATAATCGCTGTGTAAATCACGATTTTGACAAATAATTATGTAAATCTAGTGGATTCCATAACGATTATCCAATATAATTGTCTTTAGATTTGTAAAGAAATTTAGCGAGTTCTTTATTTCCACTTAATATAGTTAACTTTTTGATTTTAATTTCCATTTCTTTATTTTATTATTTTATTATAATTTGAAATTCTATCATTGGGTAAAAGGAATCTATTTATAAAGTTTAAGTTAATTATCTAAACGTAGAATATTATTATTGTTTCACATCTTTTTCTATTAGGCAATTCATTTCCAAAAAAAAAAATCAACAATTCTATTTTAATGTCTTAACGCCCAGGTGGAATAAAATAATCGAATGCCCGATTTGAGAAATTTTTATTATCAAATTTTTCTTGAAAAAAAATCTAGTTGTTATTAAAAAATAAATTTCCTCGCTTTTTTTCAGATAACGATCACAAGGAGTTAGATTTTTAATTTGTAGTTACGTGAACGCTGGTTCTGTAAATATAGCTAAAGGTGATTATAGTAAAATAAGTTAATGAAATATACCAAAGGGATTTAAATAATAATTATATATGTATATGTATATATAGTATGTATATTTATATATTTTTTTATCAAAGATTTGGAATATTGAATTTTTTTTAAAATGATTTACTAATTGTATTAGAAAAGATTATATTCCAGAAAGCGCCTCAACATTAGTATAATTTCGAAATTATATGATGCAATCTAAGAATTCATAGTATCCTTCTTCCTTTAATCTTGAATGATTAGTAACAAGAATGAATAGTTGTAATAACAACGATGGAAGTATTCGATTCCCCACACTTCTGCCGAACGCTAGTTCAGTTGCTCCATAATTTTTCTGTTCTTTCAGCAAACTATTATTTGCATAAGAAATTACATGTTCCTTGCTATTATCATCTACTTGTGCTGATACTGTACCCAGTCCTTCATATGAAGCGTTTTATTAAGATCTGGATAGATCAAGGTTGGCGCAGAAATCAAACGTTCTTTCAAACAATCAAAAGGTTTCTGTTGTATATCAGTTCAGTCAAAGGAGCATTCTTTTAAGTGAGTGAGTAATACAGAAGTTGTGCAAATTTTTGACAAATTTACGATAGTAGGATGCTAAACCTAAGAATCCTCTCGATTTTGTAGTGTTAACTAACTGGTTGTGGATATTCCTTTCTTTTTCGATTTTTGATGGATCCATCCCCACCAATTACATGTCCTAAGAAAAGTGAGACTTGGTTTCCAAAATGACATTTTTCTGCGTTTAAATTTAGTTCCGTACTTTTTATTCTTTCGAATACTTGTTGGAGTCGGGTCGTGTGATCTTAAAATATATATTAGATCCAGGTAGACATACTAAATTTTTCCACAACATACCATGTACATTTGATCCAGGAGCATTGATAAGACCAAATGACATTACTTTGAATTTGTAGTTACCATATTTGATGGTGAATGTGGCTTTGTATTTAACTTTGTGACTCGTAACATACCATATATTCGTGGGAGGGGTAAGCATCTTTTTTGTTATTGAATTTAATTTTCTATATTTCACACAAAAACGTGATTTCTCATTCTTCTTCTTACTATTACTACTGGTAATGTCCATAGATTGGTGGATGGTGCAATAAAATTATTGTTCAGGATTTTATTGAATAAATTCGTTTTCGTGATACTCTATAAGGGCGTTACTTAATAAGTTTTCATCACGGTATCTATAGAATGGCAAGCTATGATTCATCTCTTGCAAAAATATCTTGACATTCTTCAACTAGTTTATAAAACTTCTCTTTCTGAGGAGTAGTTAATGGGCCAACATTTAAATTAACTCGTACACTTCTAAATTCGAGTATTTCTACCTCAATGTATTGATTGACTTTATCATTTCAACGCAGGATTAAAATTATCAGCATACAAATTTCCTTCATACCCTTCTTCAATTTTTTCTCCTCCTTCTTCATCATTTTCAGTAGTTGGACCACAATACTCCTCTTTCGCAAATCTAACATTGTTTTGCCTAATATAGTGGGTATTTATAATGTTTTTCCCTTTCTACATTATTGTCAGCTTAGAAGAGTTTCAATCGAACTGTGTATATTACTAACCTTCTTCAACCCAGCAGTAATTGATGTTATTAACGTCAGTCGTATCAAAAGAGATGGGAGTGTAAAAGGCTCCAATACAAATGGAGAAATAATTAATCTTTCCTAATGGTCTTGGTAGACTTCCTACAGCTTTAATAAGAGTATTGTTAGTAGTTTGTTCAATTTCATATCCTAATTCATCAAGTAGGAGCTTCGAAACAACACTAGAAGCAGCTCCGTTATCTATGGTTGCAGCCACAACAGCATTTTCAATGATGACTTTTTGTCTGAGTTATCCTCGAATTTCTTGATTCAGTAGCATAATATTAACTACTTGATATTTTTTATTCTAATATTACTGGCTTATTGGTTATAATTATTAATATTATTATCCCTTAAACGGTCAGAATATTCTTTAATGGTAACTCGCATAATTTTTTTGATCACGATCTTGGTCAGCAAAAGCAAAATAGCCAATCGACTAACTTTTAAAGAAATTTGTACAAGCCACAAGGACAACACCAAAAATTTTTTTACAAACTCATCTCAGAGATCATTTTCATATTAGGAAGTGATATGCTTAGAGAAAGTTTTATATATCAGAAAAATTTACCGGTGATAAATGACCGATTAACCATTTAAGTACACTGCAGTGATTGTGAACCATTTAAAGCTGCCATTACTTATCTAAGCCGGAAATGACCACTTATGTTTCTTTAATATTTCTTCTAAAATATTCGACCCCCTTCCATTGCCAAAAATATCTGAAAGGTGTTCAATGATCGCAATTCCACACTATGCGACAAAGTGTGTTAGGGCACACACGCTCGCACATCATGAATTTCACGACGATAACCCTTTTGATATTTTGACTCTTCACTTCTTTAAGCTGGTAGTGGCTACACAAATTTTAGACATCACTTGTACGGAATTCGTCAATGTCCACTATGGCTTTGACGTATTGTCCATGCCTAAGAGCGTTTCACAGGTCCAAGCGCATTTCCAACAGATACTTGGCATCAACAAATGTTATTTTGTCGCCTGCAGTAAGCTTTTTGCAAAACTTATGGAGAACCTTTTATTTCTCTATTACTATATATATGACTTCCATTTCCGTTGGCCATAAAACTCCAAGCCTGCTTGAAGTTGATGGAAGACATAATTTAAGCGTTGTTGGAATGCCTAAACTGTGCTAATTTTGGACGCTGGCATATTCCTGATCCATGTTCCAATACATTACCAAGTCCTTCTTTTTGCGTCTTATCTATAATAATAACCAATAATATTACAGCAAATTGATTCATTGTAAATAATTGTACACACCTGCCTTGATTCTGTTCTCCATTCTCTATTTGAGCATCCCTGCAACCTAGATCTACTGCTGTTACTGGTGTTTTATCACTGATTCCTAATTATGAAACAACAGCTGCATGAGTTGCTTATGAAGGTGTCATACTTGGGTTACCGACTACGCTTGTATTTTCTTCTAAAGTGATTTTTTGGGCCTGTTTAAAATCCCACTAACAAACATACCATCCGTTTTAATAATCTTTTCACATTTGTTTCTTTAGAAACACAAGAAAGGTCGAATTTCTCATTCCACAATTATCGACTTGATCATCATACCAGCCAAGTTGTAAAGTTGATAGGAGGGCGGTGTTTCAATGATGATGAAGAATAGATTCAGAATCATGTTAAAGAGCTGATTTTCTCTAGGATGTTTTTCAAAAATGATCAGATCCAAGGGAAGGTAACTTTCCATTTCTTTTTTATTTTGTTTTGTCTCATTAAATGGGAAAAACTCTTTGTGACTATGACAGTCTTTCAAAAAGGTACCGAAAGTATATGTTTTGTCTAAATTTAAATGAATTTTTCTTGAATCGTAAAATTTATTTGATCCCCAGCTGATACTTTTTTCAAACGAGTCGACAACCTTCTATCTTTTTTTGAAGGGATCATTGGCCGTGACATTGCTAACCTGAATTAGATAAGTATTTGTTATTATCTAGTCAGTGTATTATTGAAGAGTCGAAAATTGAGACTTGATTTTGGTGTGCTACTTAATTTATAGAACAAAGACGTTTACTAAAATTTGTTATAGTATACGTGTATATATGATTTTTATGAATTGACCATCATTTCCTTTCCTAGATAATTGCAGACTTGGTCAATGCAATTACGTTTTGGCCGGGCGTTGGAAAAGGCAGAGCAATCTGAAAGCATTTGTAAAGTCAAGATTTTAGTATGCTGTGGCGATTCTACACTGAGACTGTTGATAATAGAATGTTTGATCAAGAATTGAGATAGGAATATTGTATTCGAGGAATATATTTAAATATACATTCTAGGAATTGTTTTTTTCTTTAATTATGTTTTTAATAATTAACGTTGTTATGGTCGGTTCGATAATTAATTAATATTGAACAAATAAGGACTCATGGTAACTTTTAAAGAAAGCAATTGTTGTAGTAGAAATTGTAGAAATTTCATAATTGCCAAAGAACTCTTTATATATATATATATAAGGTGAGCAAAATTTGAGTTGGAGTTTTAATAATACATATTTCTTACTTCAATAAATGTTTGTTTTTCCACAATCATT